GGAAAATAAAGGGAAAAATCCAATTAATGGAGAGGAAAATAAAGGGAAAAAATCCAATTAATGGAGGAGAAAATAAAGGGAAAAATCCATTTAATGGGGGGAAAATAAAGGGAAAAATCCAATTAATGGGGGAGAAAATAAAGGGAAAAATCCAATTAATGGAGGGGATGGGATGGAGAAAAAAGGGAATAAAAAAGGGAAAATTCAATAGAAAATAAAGGAAAAAATGGAATTAATGGGGGGGAATAAAGGGAAATTAAAGGGAATAAAAAAAGGGGAATAAATGGAATTAATGGAGGGGGAAAAAATGGAAAAAATCCAATTAATGGAGGGAAAAAAAGGGAAAAAATCCAATTAATGGAGTGGAAAAAATGGAATTAATGGAGGGGAAAATAAAGGAAAAAATGGAATTAATGGGGGGATGGGAGGGGAAAATTCAATGGAAAATAAAGAGAAAAATTCAATTAATGGAGGGGAAATAATGGAGGAAAAAGGGGAAAATCCAATTAAAGGAGCAGAAAAAAAGGGAAAAAAATGGAATTAATGGAGGGGATGGGAAGGGAAAATTCAATAGAAAAAAAAGGGAAAAAATCCAATTAATGGAGGGGAAAAAATGGAAAAAATCCAATTAATGGAGGGGAAAAAAAGGGAAAAAATCCAATTAATGGAGGGGAAAAAAGGGAATTAATGGAGGGGATGGGAAGGGAATAAATGAGAATAAAAATGGAAAAAAATCCAATTAATGGAGGGGAAAATAAAGGAAAAAATGGAATTAATGGAGGGGATGGGAGGGGGAAAATGTGAATTAAAAAAGGGAAAATTCAATAGAAAATAAAGGAAAAAATGGAATTAATGGAGGGGATGGGATGGGAAAAAATGAGAGTAAAAAAAGGGAAAATGAACTAGAAAATAAATAGAAAAAATTCAATTTATGGGGGAAAAAATGAGAATAATAAGGGGGAAAAATACATCGAAAAATGAATAAAAAATGGAATTAATGGAGGGGGGAAAGGGAAAAGAAATTGAATAAAAAAGGGAAAAATTGGAATAAAAAAAGGGAAAAAATGAGAATAAGAAAGAAAAAAAATGAGAATAAAAAGGGAAAAAATCAAGAGAAAATAAAGGGGGGAAATGAAAATAAAATAGAAAAAAATCAAGAGGAAAAATCAGAATAAAAAAGGGAAAATTGAGATTAAAAAAGTGGAAAAAATGAGAATAAAAAAGGGAAAAATTGGAATAAAAAAGGGAAAATTCAAGAGAATATAAAGGGAAAAAAATGAAAATAAAAGAGGGAAAAATCAGAGGAAAAATCAGAATAAAAAAGGGAAAAATGAGAATAAAAAAGGGAAAACAAAATAAAAAATAAAGAGAAAAAAACCAACGCGACAATTGGATTTGATTGCGATTTTTTATTTATTTTTTACACTTTTGGGGGGATTGTTGAATTTTATTTTATTTTATTTTTGAATTTTATTTTTTATTTCATTGGGATTTTTTGGGGGTTTTTTGGGGGGATTTGGGTTTTTTTTCCATGTGGAAAAAAATTCAGAATTCCCAGGAAAAAAAAAAAAAGAAAATTCCCAGGAAAATTCAGAATTTTGGGGGAAAATAATTCAGATTTTTGTGGGAAAATTATTCCAAATTCCTGGGAAAATTCGGAATTTTGGGGAAATCATTCAAATTTTATTGGAAAATTATTCAGAATTCCCGGGAAAAAAATTGAAAATTCCTGGGAAAATAATTCAGAATTCCCGGAAAAATTTGGAATTTTGGGGGAAATTGATTCCAAATTCCCGGGAAAATTCAGAATTCCCAGGAAAATTCGGAATTTTGGGGAAAATAATTCAAATTTGGTGGGAAAATTATTCCGAATTCCCAGGAAAATTTGGAATTTTGGGGAAAATAATTCACATTTTATGGGGAAATTATTCAAAATTCCCGGGAAAATAATTGAAAATTCCCGGGAAAATAATTCAGAATTCCCGAGAAAAATTTGGAATTTTGGGGAAAGTAAATCAAATTTTGTGGGAAAATAATTTGGAATTTTGGGGGAAATAATTCAGAATTTGGTGGGAAAATGATTCCAAATTCCCGGGAAAATTCAGAATCCCCAGGAAAATTCGGAATTTTGGGGAAAATCATTCAGAATTTTTGGGGGAAAAAATAATTCAAATTTGGTGGGAAAATTATTCCAAATTCCCAGGAAAATTCAGAACTTTTGGGGAAAATCATTCAGAATTTTTTGGGGAAAAAATAATTCAAATTTGGTGGGAAAATGATTCCAAATTCCCGGGAAAATTCAGAATTTTGGGGGAAAATAATTCAGAATTTTTGGGGGAAAAAATAATTCAAATTTGGTGGGAAAATGATTCCGAATTCCCGGGCAAGGAATGGACAATTGGCGGGAAAATCCCGATTTGAGAGCTGGGAATTCCCGGGACAGGGATTTGGGTTAAAATCCCGCGGTTTTGGTTAAAAGAAGAGCTGGGAATTCCCGGGACGGGGATTTGGGCTGAAATCCCGCGGTTTTGGTTAAAAGAAGAGCTGGGTGTTCCCGGGACGGGGATTTGGGTTAAAATCCCGTGTTTTTGGTTAAAAGAAGAGCTGGGTGTTCCCGGGTTGGAGATTTGGGTTAAAATCCCGTGTTTTTGGTTAAAAGGAGCGCTGGGAGTTCCCAGGACAGGGATTTGGGTTAAAATCCCGCGGTTTTGGTTAAAAGAAGAGCTGGGAATTCCCGGGATGGGGATTTGGGCTGAAATCCCGTGTTTTTGGTTAAAAGAAGAGCTGGGTGTTCCCGGGATGTAGATTTGGGTTAAAATCCCGTGTTTTTGGTTAAAAGAAGAGCTGGGAATTCCCGGGATGGGGATTTGGGCTGAAATCCCGTGTTTTTGGTTAAAAGAAGGAGCGATGGGAATTCCCGGGATGGAGATTTGGGCTGAAATCCCGCGTTTTTGGTTAAAAGGAGCGCAGGGAATTCCCAGGGCAGGGATTTGGGTTAAAATCCCGCGGTTTTGGTTAAAAGAAGAGCTGGGTGTTCCCAGGATGGGGATTTGGATTAAAATCCCGCGGTTTTGGTTAAAAGAAGAGCTGGGTGTTCCCAGGGCAGGGATTTGGGTTAAAATCCCGCGGTTTTGGTTAAAAGGAGCGCAGGGAATTCCCAGGACAGGGATTTGGGCTGAAATCCCGTGTTTTTGGTTAAAAGGAGCGCTGGGTGTTCCCAGGACAGGGATTTGGGTTAAAATCCCGCAGTTTTGGTTAAAAGGAGCGCTGGGTGTTCCCAGGACGGGGATTTGGGTTAAAATCCCGTGTTTTTGGTTAAAAGGAGCGCTGGGAATTCCCGGGATGGGGATTTGGGTTAAAATCCCGTGTTTTTGGTTAAAAGAAGAGCTGGGAATTCCCGGGACAGGGATTTGGGCTGAAATCCCGCGGTTTTGGTTAAAAGAAGAGCTGGGTGTTCCCGGGTTGGTGATTTGGGTTAAAATCCCGCGGTTTTGGTTAAAAGAAGAGCTGGGTGTTCTCGGGACGGGGATTTGGG